CGGTGGTCTGTCGCGTTATCTGAAAAGAAATACTGTTAGCACTCTAGCAATGTTGAGAAATGTACTAATATTATTCTGAATGGTGAGAAACGTAAACTAAACATGAAAATTGGTCAATTTAAGTGGTTATAAAATAATATACTCTCCTCGTGGTCGTCCGCCATTAATCAAAAAGGAAATAATGTGCAAGGACCGGAAATTGGATCAACTCGTCACCAGTGTCAATTGTCAACTCGCTGTAATTACACTGACTCGGACCACTGATTTACACTGCAAGTGTTAATGCCATTCAAATCAACACCAGAATCAACACTTTTTAACTCTGATAAATTGACACCATAAAAACAACTCTAAACAACACTGGATATTTTGCTGTGTGAGCTGCTTAAACTGAAGAAAGTTTTCAAATTGGTAAGCAAGCGCTGCTTTGTTTGTTCCGTATATCTGTGTATATCTCATATTTCCTTGTTTCAGTTTCTCCTTCTGAATGATGAATATGTACTATTGATAGCTGCTGATATAGAGATGGTTCATTCCTCTCACACACGAGCTAGTCTGCAGTCGGCTGTAGTCTGAGCGCTGTGTTCAAGTGCAGCTTTTTGCTCCAGACGCCGCCGATGTGAGGCGACTACACCGTCGGCTTTCATCGCCCCTAGTACTTTGAAGTCGGCTTTGTGTGTCCCGGCCTTAAGCTTTCGGCCGCAGACAGCGTGAGAAGTGAGAAGCAGCACCACATTTACTACAGCGCTCTAATGAAACTCTCAGGGTTACATGTCAGAATAAAAACTGATGAGATCTGAGCGTTCATGAGGAAAACTTGAGTGGTGTTTGTCTGTGCAAAGCTCCTGCGACACAATTCTAAGGTGTTCTGGTGTGAAAAGAGCCTCAGTGGTCTGTAGATGTGGCTCCAGTTACTCTTTCAGTGTGTGTTCTTGGCATTTTTTTTCAGTTGTTTTCTGGTCCAGCATGTCAAGATGGTGCGTCTGATCACTTAGTAAAGCCACAGCACACATGATCTGAGGAATCATTCATGTCTGGAGCACAAACCCTGCAGGATTTCAGCTACAGAAAAATTCCCTGCCAAGTGCAGGCTTCCTGTGGCCTCGGTTCCTCATCTTCTTCCACAGTAAAACGTCTGGAAATGAAAGACACGGTGCCCATTTCTCCTCATCTCAGAGACACAACCCTTTTCTCCTTCAAACATCAGACTCGTGCTGTTTGTCTGAAGCCCAGCAGATCAGAAAAGAGTTTGTTTGTTGGTTGGTTTCTTAAAGAAAGTGGGTCATATCCCAGAGGAAGATAGCATACAGTAGCTCACATTCACCTCAGAGCATCGTGCAAATCCAGTGTGTGATTCTGTGTCTCATAAAAGAGTAATCCGTAGTAATGTTGAGTGGTTGGCCGTGTCTGATTGATTATGGTTGTGTTTCAGAGCTGGAGGCGTCCTCTCTGCACACTCTGAACACCAAGACCCTCTTCCTGAAAGTTCTTCCTACAACAGCAGAAGCCTAAGCAGATCCTCCTCGCGTCTGTTCGTCACCATGGGTTTGGTGTTGGTCATGGAAAAGGGAAAGGGCAGATAACGCAGATCTCGTCATGTGTGTTGATCGACTCGTTAGATGGGAGCAAGTGAAGATTGTAACTGGAGCTGTACTCTATGAACATGTGGAGAAGCTTTGAATAAACCTTGAGGTGCAAATAAAACCTTTGAATTATTCCTTTATCATCTTCAGAATAGCATGTATCCATGCAGTGTGCGTTTACACTGAGAACAGATGCTATAGAAATATTTCTTAATAAAATACTGTCATAATCAGTGGTACTGATAATGCTGTTCCAAACCCATAAGATTACGAATGAAGATATTTTATTGGAATTAATGCGATTTCTGTCCCTCCATTGAAAGAATATGGAACCATAACATTGATGCTTCAAAACGTTTATAAAGGCATGTTAAACTTCATTTGAACTTCTGTTGACCATATTTGATGTGCTAAAATATGTATTTGAAATGTATGTCCATAAATATCTTTATTTGTGTTTTGAAGTTGAGCAAAAGTCGTGTGTGTTTGGAGTGACATGAGGGCGAGTAAATGACGACAGAACTGTAATGCAGGTGAACTTAGAAACAAAGGAAAGTCAGATCCAGGGCTCAGTTGCATGAACACAGCCACTGTGTTAAGACTTTGACCAACTAGCAGTTAGCCAAGGGGTTATCAGTCTTACTTTTCAGATCCAAATTACACCCGTCTACCTTTTTTTTTTTTTTTACTTAAAGTTATGACAATTTTTGAAGAAATAAAAAGACTAGGTTATTAAGACTAGTCTAAGCAGTTCATGCAACCAGCCCCTGGTGCAGATGATTTATTAGAAAATAAGATAAAGTACAAAACAATACGAAGTATCTCAGAAAACTCTGAAAACAAAGAACACAGACTATAGGTCCAACAAAGGACAAGACCTGACAAAGAACACGAGAAACATTACGGCTTTATGGAAAAACATGGGAAATAAACGAGACTCGGGTGAACTAAATCAGACACCATGGAAACAAACAACAACACAGGAAGCAAGCAAGGAAACAAGAACCAAACACAGGAAATAGGAAATAATCCAAGGACCCAGTAATCAAGAGCCGTGTCCCAAACCGCTGCCTATTCCCTATATAGTGCACTATATCTGCTGTCGTTCATTTTGTAGTGCTGTCCGAATTCTTCAGTTTGCATCTTTCTTATTTCTGCTTTAACATTTATTTCATGCATTATTAATATTAAAATATATTATTAGCATTAACTCGGTTAAATGTTTTACTAATTTACTGAGGTGGATGATTATAATATTTTCGATAATCACCTGTAGGTAGCGTATTCGTCTGATGTAAAATGAACGGGCACCTGGGCATTGCCATTTTATCTGAGCGCAAAACACTGCTCGGGAGAGTTTCAAGATACTAAAAACAATAAATGCATACAATTATCAGCAGATGTTAATATTTGTTTATTTTTGTTGCCAGTATTTTAATAGTATTTAAGGATTATGAACAAAATAAGCATTACAAAACCAAATGATTAATATACCATTGATGAAACCACAAAGCTGGGACAGAGGTATGTATGATTATTACAATATAAAGTCATTGTGAGTGTTATTGTTAATATTATTTTATAAAACAAGGTACACAAGGTAAAAGTACAGGTGTGACAACGATGTTTGTGTGACCGCTCCAGCTCTCCGATGTGCCATTTTACCTCAGCATCTGAATTCAAGTCAAGTCGCCTTTATTTATATAGCACTTTTAACAATACAGATTGTGTCAAACTGAACAGCATTAATTAGGAAAATAGTGTCAATAATGCAAAGTGACAATAGTAAACACTCATTTTTCAGTTAAAGACAGTTCATCATTGAATTCAGTGATGTCAACATCCAGCTCAGTTCAGTTTAAATAGTATCTTTGCAATCATGTCAACGATATCGCTGGAAATGAAGTGTCCCCAACTAAGCAAGCCAGATGAACCATTACTCCATCGGTGACAGAATGGAGAAAAAACCTTGGGAGAAACCAGGCTCAGTCGGGGGGCCAGTTCTCCTCTGACCAGACGAAACCAGCAGTTCAATTTCAGGCTGCAGCAAAGTCAGATTGTGCAGAGGACTCATCTGGTTCCTGTCGTCTTGTCCCGGTGGCCGTCTGAGACAAGGTCTTTACAGGGGATCTGTATCTGGGGCTCATCTAGTTGTCCTGGTCTCCGCTGTCTTTCAGGGCTGTGGAGGTCCTTTCTAGGTGCTGATCCACCATCTGGTCTGAATACGTACTGGATCCGGGTGACTGCAGTGACCATCTGATCTGGATACAGACTGGATCTGGTGGCTACAGTGACCTCGGAATAAGAGAGAAACAGACTAATATTAGCGTAGATGCCATTCTTCTAACGGTGTAGCAAGTACATCAGGTGTTATGAGAAGTGTTCCCGGTTCCGGTTGTCCTAATTAATGCAGCCTAAAAATCCTTTAACGGATTTTAATATTAGAAGCGTATTAGTGTGTTCTGTGTAAGCCAGGTTAAAGAGATGGGTCTGTAATCTAGATTTAAACTGCAAGAGTGTGTCTGCCTCCCGAACAATGTTAGGTAGGTTATTCCAGAGTTTGGGCATAGAATTTTGATATTCTAGTCTAATTCACTCACTTCGTTTCCTTCGCTCCTTTCTGATATAGTGCACTCAACTGCCGTACACTATATAGGTATTAGTGAATGAGTGAGCGATTTCAGACACAGCTAAAGAAACTACAAAGACTACAAGATTGTTCTGGAACAGTGTGGTAAATACCACTGATTTGTAGTCGTGTCCTCTTTTGGAAGACCAAACAAAGTAGTTTCACTTTCACAACGAAACACACAGCGGGCTAGAGTGAGGGGAAGCCCCGGCTTAGCGTGCGCTGAGGCCGGGATAGAGTGAACAGAGGCGGCGGAGTCGAGAACGGCGCGCCCGGCTCTCTGTGGTTTTGCTTGGTCTTCAAACTGAAATCAAGAGAGAGAGAGCATTTTTACCCAAAACAGCTTGCGTTGCATTTCATGGTAAACATTTCATCAGTTCATGCATTTCCCGGGAAGTGAACCCTTGACCTTGGTGTTGCGAGCGCCACGAGCTACTGTTTTGGCTACAGGAACTCTGCTGTAGTGCACAGAAATTATATTTCATGCTACTAAAAGAAACATCAAAAGATTGTTTTGCCACCAGAAAAATAGTGGCAACTTTTCCTACTTTTTGCTGTGTCATGAATTACTGTATTTCATAATTGCTCTGCTCCTTATTTGAAAAGCCTGTAAAGTTTGTTTGATGGCAGGTTGCCATTGTGAACTGTATAGTGTGACAGCATGAGCCACTGATGGATCAAGATGTGAGAAATATTCACCGCGTAATGTGCTCTGGTTTGTTCTATAGCATGGCATTAACTTGTGCATGTCCAAACAAGCTTGGCATTTCTAGAATATTTTGTGATACTTTTCCATTATGGTGGATTGGCCTATTTTAAGCTTATTAAATATTTAGATCTGACATATCAGTATGCAAGTTTGTTGTCCTCCTGAAATGAAGTGCTTATTTTCATAATGCATAATGAAGTACATCGTATCTCAATCTGACTTGATGAGCACGTCCTTTAATACCCTGCTTCATCTATATTGGCAGTACAGTACGGTGTTCTGCTAGGTTATATTTAATATTACCAAGAGAGTTGTTCAGCTGTTCTTTTGTGCCATGTAGCCAAATGTAATCAAAGCAGAAATCATTTAAATGCCAAATGATTAGTATGCAGCACACTTGCTTTAGTATGTAAATACCAACTGAGAGGTGATTCACACTTTACTGTATTTGAGCGATTTTTGCTAATTTGTTGTCAGTTGCTTTTCAGATGTAATTTGGTCTGTTAGCATCACATTTACATTCAACATGAAAGCCCTTAATGATTAATGGTGGTTGTTTCAGCACAACATTATAAAACAGGAGTCAGAATTACAATTTGTGTAATGGCAACATCATTCTGAGAAAAGCACACTGGACCACTTTGACTTATTTTGACTCAAGAAGTAGAAGTGGGAAGAGCAAACTGTTGGGAATCACTCAAAGTACTGCACTTTGTATTAGGCAACCTACAGTAGGCTCATTGGCTCATTTCTGCAAAACTCCAAATGTGTAGCTATATATAGGATTCACTGCAGTTTCCAGCTGAAATGAACACTAGTCGCAGTAAAACACCAATAACTTTTGTTCATTTTCACACAAATCATGATTACAGGGACAGATTATCGATTAATGAAGAGTTGTTTTCATGTGGTTCCTCACACAGTACTATGTTATGAGCTCAAAACACTTTTATCATAGTGCATGATTTGTAAACTAATACATTTTGACGTCAGCATCATATAACCAGCTCCATACGTGTGGCTTTTCTGATGTAGTAAACTTGCTCAGTAGCGCACCCGGTACAGCATTACACTTGTGATGTGAAGCGCTCGGGTACGAGTCCTGTTAAACAGGAGTCATGAAAAAAAAGCTCAGCGACTTATAGAAGCAAAAATAACATGGTTGTTTCAGTAAATTAGTTTTTATCCCACGTTTGCCCTTTCCCCGCCATTGATGGAATTTTTCAGCTTGCTGTGTTTTCACTGTTGTATGGTAGGAGGCGCTATTACACATTCCTTAAAAGAGTACTGCATGTCTAGATCAAAACACAGTGAAGAAGAATCAATTTTTGGCAACCTTTTTATTGTTTTTAAATGTCAGGAAAGAGTTACCATTATAGGTTTTGTGTAGAGTTTATTGTACTGTAGGTGCTACATTATTTTCAAATGTAAAAGAGTTTTAACTCACTCGACATTCATTTCTGATCTGCTGCAATACATACACCAACCAATGCAATAACATGTTCCCAGATTGACTTTCATCTGTTTTCTAGAAAACTGAATACACTTTTAGTGGCACTCACTGGACATTTCACTGTGAAAGTGTTTTGCG